AAAAAAGAAAAAAAAAAAAAACAGTAAGAAAGACAGGGGGGGATAGGGGGGGGGGTTGGTGGGGAGTGGGGGGGGCAAAAAAGGGAAAAAAAGGGGGGGCGCCGCGCCGCTACGTGCCGGGGGGGGGGGGGGGGGGGGGGGGGGGGGGGGGGGGGGTTACTTGGGTTAATTTTTGCTGGGTAGGTGCCGCTGACCTCTCAGAACCCCTACCCCATTATAGTCTATTCTGTTGCCAAGTATAGACCCCATCTTATTCACTTCTGGGAAAGTGTAGTTTTCGCGATTCCCAATATAGTATTAAACTTTCTGTTTGTGTATCTACTTTATAAAGCCTTTTAACTACGTCATCCAGAAATGAATTGACACATTGGTTAAACTTAATGAAGTAAAAATCTTCCCATTTTTAAGTCCCTACCTACTTGAATTTTCTTATCCCCCAAATCCCGAATTCTAGCGACTCTAATGAAAACGCAACCCCATTATAGTCAATCCAGCCGTGAAAATGCGACCCCATCCAGCGGCAACCCCCCGGGCATGAAACACCCGAGAATACCGAAACCCCTCCGGATGGGGATAAAGAACTAAAGCTGAGGTCCACACGGCCGAAACTTTTTCCGGTCGCGGTTGTATGAAACCGGGCCTGGGAGTAACGAGCAAACACGACTGCAAGGACAACTGAAACGTCACTTGGAGAGCGAGATCGCGCTGTTTCAAACGTTATTGCTCTGGTTCCATTTCATAAAATTTGTTTAATGTTGGAGGATTCTTGTGGAGTTGATCCTTTAGAACTGTACCTTAAGCCCTGGGGGGGAGGGGGTACTGCCATATATGGGTTATATAGGTATGTGCCGCTGTGAAGGGTATGGTTTTGAAGCAGTTTACTCTAGGATAGGGTATATAAATCAGAGCGTTTGGGTCTAGAATAGGGTATCATTTTTCAGGAAACTGATAAGTTGGTTGAAGATTTTATCTAGACCAGGGAAACAGCTACTCTAGGATAGGCTGTATAGGGGGGATTTGGGGAGTTTACTCTAGTATAGGGTAGCAAAATTCAGCTAAACTAGCTCTGGTATAGGTTAAGGGTTCCAGGGTCGCAGCGGCACACCCCCACCCATAAATTCCTAAAGTACCCTTCCGGGACCTTAGGCTAAGTTTAGAAAAAGAAAACTTGAGAAAATCGTTGTCTTGAGTTCACGTCCTCCATAAAAGGCGAAACTGGGAAGTTTCACGTCGTAGTCGTTCAACGACGGCAACAAAATGTTCAAAAAAGCGTGATGCACCTGCAAAGTTGTTGTTTTGAAAACGGAGCGTATTCGAATCGTTTTCACCCGTCCACACGAAAACGATGGAAATACGATAGCATACCTTATTGACTGAGCATGCGTCTTGCTATGATGTATTTAAATGATGTAGTTTTGATGCATGAAATCATCGTCGTCCACACGTAAACGAAAAGCCGGCGTTTTCAAAAATCTCTACTTGTAGAAAGAAACGA